ACAGTTTTTTTTCAAGGGCTACCCTACCCGATCGGACTGGAATAGCCCTATAGCCCGACGGCGTACCAAATGGCGTGCCCTGACATCTTCCTTCCCTCTTCTACAAACTGAAGTAAATTGAGCATCAGAAAAAGCATTAGCTCTGAATTATATCGCTAGTACGAGAGTCTTAATGTCCCACTGATGTAATAAGGTTATGAATGACCATCATCGTTATTTCAAAATTTGATTGGTAATTTGTAATGCGAGGTACTAGGCTACAGGCCATCGGTTTCTGACAGCAGCAGTGCTGCCGAGCTCCGGCCCGAGGCGCGGGAGGCTCGTGCGCCCAAGCGCGGTGCTTGCGCCTCGCAGGGAGCGGCTCCGTGGCCGCAGACCGCGATCAAGAGGAAAAGCTGCTCCGGGAAGGCACCCTGTGGGCAACTTACCTCTTCGTATCACAGCTTTCTGAAGTGTTTCTATATGCAAAACTTAAAGTTAATTGTCATTTATATTTATTTAAGCATGAAAAATTTTCCCTGATTGGGATGGATAAGACGTAGAGTGAGAAAATGAAAATGCCTTTAGCCCATCCCACCTTATTTCTGGATAAGACTACGGTAGGCATTACTTTAATTAATAATGCTATTCCTAGCGATTGACTGACTGTGGCGTGGTTTGGGGCACGGCCCAGCGCCGCTAAGCTGTATGGCTGCCAGGGACACCCGCATCATGGCGCAGGTAATTTCGGCAGGGATGCAGGCCGCTTCGAAGCCGTACCTACGCATACGGCAGGAGGAGCGAGTCCCAGGCTTTTCCCCAGAGAAGAGAGGGGTCGGCTCCTTACGCAGGAACGGTGTAACCTCATTCAGGTGCCGCCTGCCGGGCTTGCCCAGGCCCTGGAGTTGCTGCCTCCACCCTTGGGGGATGCAGAGGTTTGCTTCTGAGGCCTAGATGACCTCTAGGGGTCCCTTCCAACCCAAAACATTCTATGATTCTATGCCACTTTGTCAAACTGTATGGAGGATCTAATGTAATCGCTGGCACGGCACGACAGCAACAAGCGCTGGGTTCAGACAGTTCGTTGGTTTACTTCTTGCTGCTTCCTTTTAAGACTATTAGAGAGATTCATTTCAGACGTAAGAGGCCACGGCAGGTTAACGGAGGAGTATTTGGGAAATGAGTGGTTTGCAGTACCATGCATTATGGTAAAAATGTGCTTTTGTAGGGAAGGATGAGCAGAAGCAAGCGGCTGCCTCTGCAGAGAACGGTGCTGTAGTTGGTAGCTGTGATCCTGCGAAGGGAGCCGTGCCGGATGCTCTGCCCATGTCGCTTGGGTGCAGAGGTGGGCTCTGCCCTTCGGCCCGGAGCTACGCTGAAGATATTTTCCTGGACGAACCCACACTGGTACAACTATTGCCAGTGGGATCTGGGGAGCGCGAATTAGCAGATGATAAAACAAGCTTTTTGTGCATAAGTTGTCATGAACCAGGCTGTTCATACGTTTAAAAGTGGTTATTGAAATCAAATATCCAGTGCCGAATATGGAACAGTACTGCACTGTGCCTCGGCCGGGCAGGCAGCCGCAGCGGGCTTGCAGGTTGCTCTGCTGACGGCGACCACCAGCGCGCTTGCCCCGTGGGTGCTCCCGCTTCCCACAGTAAATTCAGGTGGAGACCCGTGGGTATGGAATATTCCCGGCTCCGGCAGAAGCTCACCCGTGGCAGAGAGGGCCGTAGGGCGGAGGAAGACGCGCGGCCTTTGGGCGCACAGAGGCATCCGCTACCCGGGGGCGCCCGTGTTTTCAACGCCCTCCTCGGCGCCTAACGCTGCCGGGAAAGGAAACCACAACGCTTGGCTGTCTTCACTTACTCAACATAGCTTTTAATTTGGAAAGCCTTACGCTCAAGGAGACTTAATGAAGTGATATAAGGGTGATGTCACCTTGAATGTCATTTATGAGAATGTAGATTACTCGGAGAGCTTTTCTAATTATCTACAAGTGTAATCAGTCTGAAGGTACAGCCCAGGTGATGGCTCAGACAGTGACTTGCTCCAAAGAAAATGCTGGGAGAAAGCTCCCGGCAAGGTGCAGTGACAGAAATTCAGCAAAAAGGTTCATAAAGGAGGGCCGGTTGTGTTCACAATTTAAATTGGAGAAAGAAAAAATGCCTCCAAGGGACCCCGATGCCCCTTCCCGGGCAGCTCATGGGCAGGACAGGGCAGGAGCGGGTCCCAGGACTCGGCATCCTCTCGGTGCGCTGGGGAGCACCTCGCGCAGCCCTGTGGTGAGCAAATTCATGCTGTGCAGGGGGTGAGTCCTAAACCCACCCATCCTGGGGCACCTCTGAGCCTCCCTCGGGTCCTTGTGGAAGGCTGGAGCGGGCATGGGGGGGGGGAGGATGATGCTGTGAGGGGGCTTGTCCCGTCAGCAGGGTTTTACTGGGTAAAGATTTGGTGGCTCCGAGAGGCCAAATCCCTTTTAAAATGTAAGGAGCGTCCATCGGGAAAGGCTATCCTAAGGATTGAGTTTATCTCATCTGAAAGTGTTACAAGGTGGGATTAAGTCAGCGAAGGGCAGAGGTGTCTTGGGTGAAAATAATAAGAATAAAGAAGGCGGTGATTTGGGTGTGCGTATATACACACAGCTGGGGAGAGAATGCCTCCTGCTCCGATGGGCGTCGGAGACTTGGTACCAGATCAGGGACTGCGCGGCCTCGCTCCTCGGCCCGCTGTGGGCACGCCTGCTGTCCGGGGGGGAAGGAGAGGTCGGATTTCTGTTGGGTAATGGAAGAGGTTGCAATAGCAAAGGAATAGTTATCCTAGGGAGTTGTGCGGCACGTGCCGTGTGTCTGGCAGAATCTCCTGGAACTGCTTTTTGTGTGCGGGGATTTACCCTTTGAAGGGGAAGAAGGAACGGAGAGTGCTGAGCTGCACTTGGTCTGGGTTTTCTCAAAGCAAATGGTGTCTGAGAAACACATCGTGTATCCAAAATGCTGGAAGCCCAGGTCTGGATACCCAGGATTTGGCCTGGCAACCCAAATGTGGCACTGTACTCTGTTCCACGGCCATGGAAAAGGAGGGGTTGAGGGAAGATGGCCCAGATAATTTTGGCAAACCACTTAATTACCTGTGGTTTGGTTTAAAACTATGTCAGTAGCTGGGATTTTTAATTTTTTTTTTTTTGAGGATAAGGAAGCTAATGGCAATATTCTGTCTTTTTTTCACCAGCAGTCAAGATGGCGCATGCTATGAAGCCATATGTTAGGGAGAGAAAAATAATGAGAAACAAAAGAT